ACTTGGAAGGCTGAGGCAGAAGGATCACCTGAGCCCAGGAGGTCAAGGCTGCAGTGGCCATGAGCGTGTCACTGCATGCCAGCCTGAGCAACAGAATGAGACTCCAACTCAAATAAATAAATAAAACTGTCGGAACCGTGTTGGTCGCATCTATAGGATGTGGAATCTTTTTTTTGGTCTCAGAGTCTTACTCTGTCACCCAGGCTGGAGTGCAGTGGCATACTCAATGGCTGCCACAGCCTCAGCCGGCTGGGCTCAGGTGATCCTTCCGCCTCAGCCTTCCAAGTAGCTGGAACCACAGGTGTGCACCACCACGTCCAGCTAATTTTTGTTTTATTGTAGAGACAAGGTCTCCTCATGTTGCTCAGGCTGGTCTCAAACCCCTGAGCTCAGGCAATCCTCTTGCATCTGCTTCCCAAAGTGCTAGGATTAAGGCATGAGCCACCGCACCTGGCCAGGATGTGGAATTTGATGCAACAGTTGAAAATAATGTTTAAAAACAGCATTAGAAATAACATAAAATAATGTTTCAGAATATTATTCATATACATGAGAGAAAATCAATACAAAAAAATCAGAATGAGAAAACAAAATATCAATGAAAGAGTGGGATTAGTGCCAGGTGTGGTGGCTCACACCTGTAATCCCAGCATTTTGGGAGGTTAAGGTGGGTGGATTGTTTGAGCCCAGGAGTTCAAGATTAACCTGGACAACATAGTGACACCTTGTCTCTATAAAAAATGCAAGCCGGGCTTGGTAGCTCAGCCTGTAATTCTGCGCCTTTGGGAGGCTGAGGTGAGCCCGCGGGTTCAAGACCCGCCTGGGCAACTTGGCAAGCCCTCATCTCTACAATAAATCAAAAGTCAAGCCGGGCTCGGTGGCTCAGCCTGTAATCCCGCGCCTTTGGGAGGCTGAGGTGAGTGGATTGCCTGAGCCCGCGGGTTCGAGACCCGCTTGGGCATGTGAGACCTCATCTCTACAATAAATCAGAAAATAGCCAGGCGTGGTAGCGCATGCCTGTAATTCCGGCTACTCGGAAGGCTGAGG